ATATGTTATATTTGCAATAAAGATAAAATCTATATTAGTTATGATAGCACCTTTTAGGGAATAGAGAGGCAACCAGTGCCATCATCCTGTATTTAAGAACTCAGGATCAGTATTGATTACAAAAATCAGTATGTTTAACCAGGATTTACATAAAATATTACATAAAAATATCTAGATGTATTACTTGTTTTGATATTGTTGCTGTTATTTGCATAGGAATCATATCTAGAGACTCATGATCAACAACCAAAGATTTTAAATTCATTACTTATTTGCAATTTTATGTTGAGTACACAGTTTGAGCCAAACTTTCCAAACACTGTAAATACAGGGACCTCAAGAAAGCTTCAGAAATAACATTATCCCAAGTATGACAGATATTACCAGACAAAAATTGTGATGATCATTAGCTGTGCAGAGAGGTGCATTTGAAGGGGAATAGGTGATTTGGAGTATGTGTGGACATATACATAACACTTCCTATCACCTCTTTAAATCAAACAGGTTCTCCTGGGATCACATGAATACTGCCATGACAGCCTCAGAAAAGATGTAATTCCTTGAAGGAGATGCCAACAAATGCAATGTGCATGCTTCAAAACATCTTTTCCCCTCTGGATGTACAGTCCTAGAGATCACTGCATTGTATTTATAAATACATGTACCTAAATAGCTAGAAGAAATGTGGATGTCTGTTATCAATACCTGAAGTTAAACGCAGGTGAAATAGATTTATTGGTTAAAGCTTCTATGTTCAACTACTATATGGCCTACTTTTAAATAGCGTTTGGGTGTTTAAGAATTGTCTTGGACTATTTAATAGCTACATAGCCCAGAAACTTTGGTAGATAAAATATATACTGGAGAAAGCCAAACCAGAAAAAATAGGAAAGTTTTAAGTAGCCCAATAGTGCATTTTTTTGTAATGTGCATCATTAATGTTCTATGACCATCTATATTTAAACTATTTCACATCAAGTGTCATAACCACCAGTTTAGAGGACATTTCCATATTAAACAATTAGAGAGACTGCTTTCTGTTTATATCCTTACAACTAGTAAAGTCATGCTGTTCTTCATAAAAAAAAAAAAAATCACAATTATACCATTAACACATTGCTGTGTTTGTTTGGATCTATATTTAAACTATTTCACATCAAGTGTCATAACCACCAGTTTAGAGGACATTTCCATATTAAACAATTAGAGAGACTGCTTTCTGTTTATATCCTTACAACTAGTAAAGTCATGCTGTTCTTCATAAAAAAAAAAAAAATCACAATTATACCATTAACACATTGCTGTGTTTGTTTGGCATGCTACAACAGAAGGCTTTATTTACGTCATTTGGAGAATGTTGGCAACTGAAATTTTGCCAGTTTGTGGACATAAGCTTTGAAGTATAGGCTGCATGTAACTCAAATACAAGTAATACTTTAATAACAATAACTTACAGATACAAACTAATGATGAACTACAATTTCACAAAGAATTGTAAACATTTTGCACAATTGTCAGTCCTGTCTTTTAGGCAAAGTGCTCTTTTGATGATAAATAAATTAACAAACACATAGCTAGAATGGACTACTTCCAGACAATACAAAAAAAGATGTTTCTCTTCAATAAAGTTTGTAAACATATTTATGGAGAAAGCCATAAAAGTGTCCTGCAGGCCATCTATACTTACATACTTGGGCAACAAAATGGTCTTCAAAATGCTTTGGATGCTATTTAAGATTAAATTGATTTTCAATGACAGGTGACTCAAAATGTACCTCCTTAAATCTCATGTCCCTGAAATAAATAAATCAGCTGTGATTTATTGGCAGTTGTGTCACTGAATGGGGTAGCAAAGGCTGGAGTCCAAGAGCAGAAGGTGAATGAGCTACAAAAATAGAAAGATTTTTGATCAGCCTGGCTGGAAGTAGAAAAATATTACTTGTGAATAAAAAACCAATTGTACTGATATGGCTGGGATACCAACAAGCTGCACCCACTTCACAGCTTGTGCAAGAGTCCATTTCTAGAAAGACAGTGCCTTCCAGATGTTTATACCCTTGGTGATGCCTGTTTCTCCCAAATTG